GACGGGCGGGCGGCAACTTTCCCGCAGGGCCGCGGTGCCCAGGGCCTGGCTTTGGGTGACTTTGACGCGCGCCCGCAGCGCGTCTTGCGGGGCTGCGCGCAAAGGAGGACGGACCGCGGTTCTCGGACCCGGATCCGTGGAGTTGTGGTTAGGACGCTCGCTGTCCGCGCCGCCGCGCGGGTTCCCCTTACACACCCGACGTCTGGAGCCGCAGGGCCCTCTGAACTTGACCGAGGCGCTTGGGTCGATCCCCTTGCCGCGGAGCGGGGACGGGGAACCCCCGGGATAGTGGAGCGCGCCCCCGAAACGTTCAGTCAGGACGGACTTTGTTCTCTTGGTTGCCGCAGAGGAAAGGGAAGGGCGGCTGGCACCGTGAAGCCAGAGTACGGGACGCTGCCATCCTGTTTGGTTTTCCCTGTCAGCTTGCACATGCATGCGGTTGCAGTTTTCCATTTGTTCGAGGACCATTAAAATGTAATCTGGAGCAACATCAGCTTTGCTTCATTGCACATGTATTTGAGGTTCATGATTATTAGCATGCATGTTGTATTTAAAGCGCTTGTAATTACAAAATACGACCAGAAACGCGATTTCTGAAGCGTTCAGCAGAACGAAGTTAATTTTTTATTAAGCAATCTTTCTGGTGGGACATTTTGTGACTTTTTTTTTTAACTGCTTGTCTTCTCAAGCGCGTATTGCCTTGGCTATGTTTTGTTAAAGTATCTGGGCTTAATCTTTAAGGTTAGATATTTAAAAAAAAAAAAAGAAAAGAAAAGAAAGAAAAAAGAAAAGAAAAGAAACCGCGGCAAAAAGTCCAGTAAGTCACAGAGCAGCAGCTTTCCATTTCTCTGATTTGAAATGTTAAGAGTTGGAATTCATGCATTCGTTTATGCTTGAACTAGGAAAAATGTCCAGCTTGTATGGCACAGGTGGTTGAAGATCATCCCTCTCAGCTGCTGCTTATTAAGAGTCATTTGCCATCTTGTCCTTTTCTTACTTACTGAGGACTGTTAGACCTCCCAAGTTTGAGGGCTATCGTTTCGTTCACTTTCTGTCTTAAATTTGTCAGTATTTTTCTGTATGAAAGTGAAAAGTCTTCTTCAGTGTTGCATAAGTGAAGTAATTTTCCCACCCGTCCCATTCCCGATGTGAAAATTCACCTTTCTCTCATTAGCAGAGGTTGGCTGCTTTCTATAGGTTCTTTGAAGACACCAGTGTTGAAAGTTTTGGATTGTTAACCCAAGCTGTTCTTAATTCCAACACAATGCTTCTACATGAAGCTTACCTAACTGGGTTTAAAAAAAGACAAAGCATGACACAAGTGAAGTTGAATATGGAAACTTTAACAGCTTTCAAGTTTTTGGCCCAAATCTAATATTAGGTATCTTGCATTATCTAATATTAAGCTCGTAGGTCACTAAAGTAGCTTTTTTTGAAAGAGGCCTTTGTGTCTTATCGGCCTTTTAGTGGTGGTGCGGATGCCTTAAAATTCACCTAGGTGTCTTGTAAGCATCTCCACTGCAGCATCTTGCTCTTCTGCTATCCACAGTGCCTGGATGTCCCCTGAGTTTCTGAATCTTAAATATTCTGTCCTATTGTTAGACCATTGTCTCTTGATTTGTGGCCCTGAAAAATGCATTCATCATTACAATGTTTAATCCAGTGGCATGCATATAGTAGGTGCTAAATAAATGTTTGCTGAGTTTCTTTCTTTTTTATTGTTAACTGAATGGTGAAACTTTCAGTCACTGGAATTTGATTCCATAAAACCTCCGATATAGGCTTTAAGAATATAGTGTTATTTACAGAGGAGGAGTCAAATTATAAGTAATAAGTCCACAACCACAGAAATAATGGTCCCATGCTTGTGATTCACAAACTGTACATGTTGATACTACATCTCAGTTACACATATTTGAAATTAGACATATTAGGTAATAGGGCAGAGGTAAATGTTAGCCTTTCTTAAATTCAGATTATTTCTTTCTTAAATTCAGATTATTTCTTTAAGGGAATATATTAAATATACTTCGGAAATTTAAAAATACATATTTAGAGAAGAAGATAAACTTCTAGCAATTTCACAAAGTCAAATTATTTACAATTAATTTGAGTTCCTTTTTCATTAATATATCAAGATTCAATTTTAGTGCATTAAAAATTTTTCTCCTTGAAAATAACGGTAAGTTAGCATGTTGAGTGTATCTTAACAATAAATTCAGTGGGGGAAGTTTTTCTATTCCCATAGCATGTGATACACACCAGTTCATCAGAATGCTTGGGAGATTGATAATTAATTGCATTTTCAGATTGATTAAGCAGTGTGCCCCACACTGTAGTGTATCCCACATATGTTCACTGAAGCAATTCTCAGACTGTTAATAGTATTAAAAGAAAAAAGGGTCCATGGTCAAATAAGTTTGAGAAATATTGGCTCAGACTAAGTTTGGCAGATTTCTTCCATGCAGGATTTGTCACAAAGCTGAATTTTCTAAAATACACTTTGAATCCCCAAATGGTGCTTAAAGTGTGCAACATTTCCTAAACTTGTTTGATTATGGGGCCCTTTTATTGAGGTGGATCTGAGGCAGGCCACACATTAAGACATGCTTCCTACATGAAATACTGGTATTCAAAGTACAAGAAATACACTTAGCAGTAAAACTCAGTAAACGTAATTTGCTTGTTAATGATTCTAAAGGTGCCTAAGGCTGGATCATCTTTGTGAACTTATTTAAGTGTGACTAAAAATACTCTGACAGTTGATTGGTTTCAGGAGTTGTGTAGTCTGTGTGGTTGCAGATGGTGAATGCTGTGTTCAGTTTGAACACTTACGGTTTTGTTTTGTTTTGAAGCAGGGTGGGCATTAACTGTAATATTTAAATGTTTTCTTGTCAGTCTTTGGATTTCCTCTGTTTTCCCTTTCCTTAGCTGGGACTTGAATTGCCCTTGAAAGATTTGAGTGTGGGGGCAGGAGTGTCAGAGGAGATCCTGTGCTCACACTTCTTCCCTTTTTGCAAACAACCAAAGCGCTCGTAATGATTGATGCCCTCCCCACCATGTGTCATCAGTCAGCTCTGTGAGGTGGCAATCACATTTGTTTCATTCACTGCTGTATCTACCCTGTCACCCCCAACAGGGTTTCTACAACCATTTGTTGAATCTGAGACTTGGGTGGCCCAGGCTGTAGAGGTGGAAAATCCACCCAGCCCGTATAAAAGGAGAAATAGAATCCAGTTTTAACCAGAGCGGAGGCTGTAGAATTTGGATTTGGTTTTGTGGAAATCTGTGGTTATTGCTGTTTCAGAGCATTTGTACCTAGGGAAGATTCTGTTTCCACCCTGCTGATCACAGATTTCCCTGTAAAGATTTAAGGATTAGTGCAGCTGGATGGGCAGGAATCAACAGGTGATAAATAATAGCGGGGCCCCACACTAACCACTAAACCGAGGGTTACTACCTCCAGTCCTCAGAATCCTTTCGGAAGGACACTCCAAGTTCTCTTTTAGTCTTTGCTTCGTTCATTTTCTTTTCTTCAACCTGCTTTTCTTCTATTCTTTACCACCTTCTCCACTGTCCTCCCTGCTTTTCCTGCCAGCCCACCTTCCTCCACAAAACTGGCCAAACTAACCATCTTAGTATACCAAGTAGATCAATCAAATTTTTGTATTTCCTATAAACTAAAGCAATTTTCTGTTTGTATGTGACCTGTCTGATTTTTTTTCTCCCGCTAGGGGTCATTGATCCTTGGTAGAGTATATGGAAGTGCTGAAAGTTTCCCTCTGAAAGCATGGTTGAGAAAATGAGACCCCACTTTCTGTTTCTGAAATAAGTCACTGTGATTTATCTCTGGAGCTCCTGCGACTTCTGTCATCTCTGTGTTCTTATGCCTTTTGGTATACACAATCTTATTATCTTGCCAAGACTATCTATAGAGATTTTGCTTTTTACATTTTCTTGAATGGCTATTTATGTACTTAAAATACTTTCTATTTGTATTACTTTTTTTCCCCTAGTGCTTAATATTATTACCACCATAACTTCAAGCGTGAGTCTTAAGATGGGTGTTATGAATGTCACAACTCTATCAGCTCAGACCTGCTCTGGGTTGGCCTTGACCTTCTCCCTGCTGAAGTGAGAGTTGAGATAGGGCCTGTT